GTAGTAGTAGTAGTAGTAGTAGTAGTAGTGGTAGTAGTAGTAGTAGTAGTAGTAGCAGTAGCAGCAGCAACATCCCACGCCTTCTGTTCTTTCTCTTCTCCCCTGCTGGCTTCCTACTTCGCTTCCCTCCGCTCCCTCCGAGTCTAGTTGACTTCCCAAAGAATCACAGGATATCAGAATGGAAGGGACCTTAGAGACCAGCTAGTCCAACCCTCTCATTTTACACATGAGGAAACTGAAGTTCCAGTTGGGTGGGGATTGACTCAAGGTAATGGTGAACCACAATTGGAACCCAGGGCTCTTGACTCCCATTACAGTTATTTTTCTCACTGCATTGGTGTAGCAGGGATGCTTGCTGTGGCCTGACCCTGCTCCCCAGCACTTAGTCTTTCTATTCCTGGCTCTTACTTCCCCTCTCCATCCCCAATTCCCAACACTTGGTCATTCTACTGGACTCCGCAGATCCCATACCAGGCACACTGAGTCTATCCCACTCCACATCTCCAGGCTCTTTGCCTCAGGAAGCAGAGGTTATACTACTCATACCTTCAGCACAGGGAGGGGAAGGAAGGAGAAGAGAGGGAAGGCAAGTAGAAGGAATTCAATCTTACCTGCTGCAAAGGCAGTTGAACAACAGATAACCACAAGCAAGAGGTGAAGGAGAATCATCATGGAAGCCTTCATGGTCTTGTCAGGGGAGAAGAGATCAAGGAATGGACCTAGGGATTTTTGTAAATAGTTAAATACTTATAAAAAATTTTAAAACAGAACAAAACCAAACCATATAAGAGAACCCTAGGCAATGCTTTGCTCTCGCTCCTCTGACTCCTCACTGGCTTCTCCACTCCTTTTATAGTTCTCCAATAAAGAGGAAATATCCTTTCTTATAGATTAAAGAATCCCCAGTGTTGTGCCACCAAAGAAGAGGGAAGTTGGAGGTGGGGCTGAATCAAGGGATTTACTTTGGGGGACACAGAAAAAGGCCTGATCCAGGAGATTCTAAACCTCATTCTTTCCATCATCAGGGGGTGGTCCTTGGCGGGATTTTCTCCTCAAAAGTTGGGCTGGGTCCAGCTGATTAATCATTGTAGTCAAGCACCCAGAAACTCAACCCCTCCCTCTCTTCTTGCATTCCTAATGACGCTTAAGAGGCAGCCTGAATTACAACAAGTTGGCTGCTACTGCCTTGGGAAAGGTTCACAGGTTCATAAATCGAGAGCCAGAAGTCATCTTAGAGTTCCGATAGAACAATTTGCTTTGTTTTTCAGGTGAAGGAAACTGGGACCTGGGGAGGTTGCCCAAGGTCACACAGGTATTAGTGGAAGAGTGGAGATTGAACTCTGGTCCCTGCTCCAAATTTAGAACTCTTTCCACTGTACCACAGACAGTGGCTTCTATGACCAACTGAAGGAACCTCACTTACCCAGCTGACAAACCTTCCTAGGCTCAGTTCCAGATTGTAGAGACGCCTGGACCAAGTATCAGGACACCCATATCCTAATTTGGCCTCCACCATCAACTGACTTGGGTGACCTTAAACTAGTCACTTCCCTTCTCTAGGTCTCAGATTCCTTTTCTCTTTACTCAGTCCATTAAATGAGGGCATTGCAACCATTGGGACAGAGCTGGAGGTGGGATGGGGGGAGGTGTAAAAGTATGACATGGAAATATTACTGAGTCCCAAGGAATGATAGAAATGAACTCAGGGAAACATGAGTAGACTCTTGTGAAAGGATGCAGAGGGTAGAAAGCAGAGCCAAAAGGATCCATCTGGCAAGGCTGTCCAGAGCAATGTAACTGAAGCCAGGGCTGGGAAGAACAAGAGAATTGCATAAATTACCATGATCACTTGTTAATATTAGGCTGTCAGGATGTGAGCTCACAGCCCTCCTTTTCTGTTAACAATCCAAAAATGAAGTTTCCAGGAATGGACTTTTTAACAGGGTTTTGCTGGGAAGTCTATTATATCAACACACTATACATTGATACTTTAAAAAATGCTTTTGTGAGAATTTAAAAAAATAAAATAAAACAAGGGGCTTAGGGCTATAAGATCCCTAATATCTTGATTCTGTAGTTCTTTGAAATGCCTCCTGTATGCCCAGCCCTGAGCTATGGAAAGAGAACAGTCCCTGGGGCCAGAAGCCATGGGTTCAGATCCTGCTTCTGTTATTTACTGACTGTGTCACCTTAGGTAAGTCTCTTAACTTCCCTCAACAAGCCTCCACGTGTTCCTCTGTATAATGAAGAGGACTGGATTAGGTGCCCTCTAAGATCTCTTCCAGATCTAGACCTATGAAGATATATTGGGCAATTCTTAGAAGGGTTCCCTCTTCACTGCTCCATAGTAGTGACTGAGACAGTCTTTCCTCACTAGCTCTGGTCTCTGGTTCCTTCCTCTCCCCTAAACAGAAAGCGCAGAGTGTGGGGTCTGAGATCCACCCAGGGAAAATAGGCCAGACACAGAATCTACACAGAACCAGACTAGAAAGCAGAAAGACAGTTTAGATCTACGTACAGTCTGATGTAGTGGAGAGAGAGCTGAACTTAAAG